CACAACCCTAGCTGACTTTCTACGGTGAGGGGCACTCGTGGTGCAGACGCAGCAGCCCTCGCGTGCCTCTGCAAGGGTACTTTGGAAAGTGCTCCAAATACTTTGAGAGGGTTGTCAAAAAGTTGGAACGAAGTGGAGCAAAGTTTTCGCGCCCAACTTCGTTCCAAATATTTTTGAAAAAAATGGACAAACGCCTACATACAGGTTCCATTTTTTTGACACGTTCAAAAATTTTGACAAAAAGTCGGTCAGTTTAAAACGGCCCTAAGGATGACATAATCCACCTCACGGACAGTGCATGCCGTTGTCGTTAGACCATTGACCTCGCATCCCGACTAAGCCGGGACGGAGCACGCCGGGTTCTCACCGGACCAGGCTCTCACATCACCAAGCGCGAAGCGCCGTGAGGTATTCGGCGAGTCGCATGAAGGGTGCGCTGCATCCTGCCTAGGTAGGGTGTTCGGTATCTTGTGCTTACTTCCTTGCGTACGGATGACAGCTGCGTATGACTTAATGTATGTTCTGGTGCTTTCACTTCCAGGAACAGTTGTAAGCACTGTGTAACTGCCTCGAGGGTGCTTGACCATTTTACCACAACGTGGTGCGATCATCCCCCTTGCGCGGAGTGGGGATTGTCCACCCCGCACAACATGATCCACTCGATCACCATTATTGTTACCACCACAAAAAATAACAGAGGTATAGAAAAACGGTATCCTGGTTGCCCAGTTCACTAAGTGAATTGGCTTGTTTTACAACGTCGTTGCCAAGCGACGAAAACCCAATCCCGATGGCAAACACCGAGGGGGGGGGGACAGGGACATATACCCCTGTATCCCCGATTTTTCCGCCGAGGCGTCGGCGCTTTGGCGTCAGGCTCTCTAACCCAACCCTAACCCTAACCCTTAAGCTCTCCCTCCCAGAGAACGTAGCGAGACACCGCGCGACAACTCGTGAACAGGCGTACGCATGAGTACGCGGGGTAGTTTGATCAAGTCGAACGTATTTCTACAAAGATAAGGCCACGAGTAGATTTGCGAGACAATGTTCGCTGTTGTGCAGTGCTAGAAGCGGCAAGGGCGAGCAGTTTGCAATGGGGGTCGTTGTGTTGCATGGTG